TATGTAACTCCTTTCCGGGGAGAAATTTTTAAATTGAAATTGCGTGACTTTCTGTTCAGACAGGAAGTTCGTATATAGTTAATCGGGGAGTTCTGCCCCCAAGCTTTTTATATATTGTTTCGAATTTTATCTATTAAGCATCGTTCTCCAGATTAAGGAAAGACAGACAGCCGGACGACGGTGTGGATTAATAGGTCTACAATTTTTTTTTTCAAGTTGCAGCTTAAATTATACATTTTTCAAGTAAAATTGAAGCACTGTTAAGGAAGTATTAATACTTTAACATTTGAACGGATAGAGTAAACCGTTAAAACTTTCATAAAATTGATAGATTCTGATTTAAAAAAAAAAAAAATTGAAGTTCATTCTGAAGTCGAACAGCATAATCTTTTTAATCTTTATTAACGATCGATTCGTCTTAAGTTAATGAAGAAAGAATAACATTGGGGATCTTTACACAATTTTTTAAAACAGAATTTCTGTTTATAATCTACAAAAATTGAAGTTAATTTAATTTTAATTAAGTTGAAAATTCTCTCTTCTTTTCTTTCTTATCCTTTGATGAATTATAATGCTTTATTTTATGTTTTTCTCTTCAATATTTTTCGTTATTTTTTTTTTTTATTATTTTATCTTTGGTTTCTTTTGAGTGGAATATCTGCTTCGTTATCCTATTATTTTAGCTTAATTAAATACTAAAGTCTGTACAGAAGAATAATGCATTGTAGAAGGATAAAGAATGATGGAAGAAGTCTACAGGAAGTAAGAGAATAAAGTAATTGAGGTTTTATTCTTTTCCTTTATGACAATTTGCTATTGTAGATTGAATTGGTGTTTTACACGATTACAAGCGTGTGATAGTAATGAAATAATAACAAAAGATGTTCTGCACTTTGTAGGATCTAATTCTGTAGGGAGGATTTGTACAGTTTGAAATATGAGACAATGATCGATAGTTGTAGAGCTGATGTTTAATCTGAAGATGATACAGTAAAGAAAATATAGCTTTAAATGTGTTTACTTTATGAAGCCTGTAATGCAATCTAAACTTATGGAAGATTTTGCAGTTTTTGACTCTTCCTCCTGTGGACCTTTTTTAATTGTTCCTATTATGGGTTTGGCCAAACTCACACTAGTTACAGCCGGATATTGAGGTACGGGATACGCCATATCCGGGACTGACCACTCCCAAAAAATTCCGGATCTCCAGAGCGGTAGGCTAAGACCATAGCCCTCCTCGACTATCCAATCGTCGTAACTTATATACTACATAAAACAGTAAAAAATTAACAATAATCAAGTTTTTGTTCGAGTTCGAAGCGAAGTTTTCAGAAATTTTCGTCTATTGTCTGGTCTAAATACGCCGGTCATCGTTCCTTATATTGGATAATCTGGTATTACCCTTCACCATCTAACCATCACCATTGTGAACCTGCTGGCTATGATAAGCATGAAAAAACTATCTTAATGCTTTCAGAATAGAAAGCCTCAATAATTTGAAGCGACAAAAGTCCACAACAATAATTTCACGTGTTTAAAAAAATTGATAAATTTAATATTATTACAATTCAGATTAAGTACTTAAACTAATATATCGAGTGTCAATTCGTTTGTAAGTTTGTCTGACAGTGTAAATTGAAGTTAAAACTGTCAAACTTGATGGATAGCTTTTAATAAACCAAGCTCTAAACTAGTTTATACGCCACCAAACCAAGCTCTAAACTAGTTTATACGCCGCAAAACCAAGCTCTAAACTAGTTTGTATGCCACCAAACNTTTTAATGTTTCCTGAGCCCAAGAATGTAAAAATCTTGAAAGGAGTAATTTTAGAACCGATCGCCATACTTTTCCTCTGTTATATATAACAGCCGGGAAAGTAAAGAGGAAAAAAATAGCGAGCAAATAAAGTAGCTTTGTTTACTTTTCTCACATTTATAAAGGATGTCTTCTATGTTTACTGTTTTTATTGGGCGACAATTTGAAAAATTCGTGGACCTATCTACCGTCTGCCTATCTTTCCTTAATCTCGAGAACGATGTTGGATAGATGAAAGTCGAGACCAGATACGGAAAGCTTAAGAGCAGGAGGTTCCGACTAACTGTATACGAACTTCCGGTCGAGACGGGAAATCACGTGATTTCAATTCAAAATTTTTTTTCCAGAACGGAGACACATTACATAGATGACCGGCACGACTCCGTCGTTATCGGGAAAAGCATGATGTACAGGGGCAAGCTACTATTAATTTGAGGTGGAGAGCATATATTTTAAATAAATGAAATAAATTAAGAATATGATAAAAAAAATGTAGCCAGGCGTCACAACATTTGCTCGTAGATATTACATAAATTTGAGAAGAAATAAATAGTTGAAGTGTACATTTAAATTCATACCTATGATCAATTATAGAGGTAAGTTAAATGAAAACCTAATCATTAACGGACTTTAAATTACGATTATCGAATCGACTTTTAAATGATTTTTAAAATTAATTTGATTTTATACTTCTTAATTATTTTCAATTTATTATAAACTCATTCCCATTTGAAAATCATTAAATCAGCGTTCGCTTACTTAACGTAACTAGGATTTTAGTTCTTGAATTTACCCAAGCATTCATTATTTGTTTTCATCCCTAATAATTGCTAACGTTACTTCAATTAGTCTTCAGATTGGTTCGGGAGATGTTAAGGGGATTTTCGGTGAATTTTTTTCTTTTTATGTTTGTGGGGGCACGATTTTGTTCATCCTCTTCGAAGCTTAATAACTCCCGTGCTTTTTGACGAAAATTTTTGAATTTTTGCAGGGAGGTTCATGTATTAGGGGAATCGATTCTATTAAATTTTGGTGGTTAAATGTCGATGGGGTGGTGAGATAAAGGGAGTCGTGTGTATCTCCGGAAGGGTCGGACTTAATGACGATTTTACTCGTTACTAGCATTTATAATTTCTTATAAAACCCATCCCAACCCTCGAAATTAAGTTTTTTGCCATTTTGTAATAGTTAAAAATATAAAAAATTTTAAAAATATGATTACAGATGGCACTACCAAATATTACCAGGAAAGTTAAGCAACTTGTTGCTGGTTTTATTCTGGAAGATAAGAAGCTTTTATTTCTTATGAAAAAGATCGTATCTGTATAAGCATAAGCGCGAACCTTTTCACAATAAAGAAGAATTCGATCTGTATATTTGGAGTGTCTTTGATTCCCTTTGGTGTCTGGTCATAAATATTTAATCGTCGAAATTATTTTAAATTTTATTTAGTAAAATAATTATAATTAAAGCCAGTCTCCTAAATTGAATTAAATTATTTTTATTTTTATTTAAAAATTTAATTAATTAAAAAAAATTCAGAATTATTTTTGGTTACGTCTAATTATTCTTTTAAGTAAATAAGCGCTCATTTGGCCTAGCTACAAATAAAAGATTTCGCTTCCAGGCGTTATAAATAATTCATTAATACTGTATTCAAATTATAGTAAAACGTGTGATGTCACAATTTCTGACTTTTTTTGTCATCAGCTCGTTTTTCTTATAGGACTAAATGGCTGAACTAATAAGCATTTCCCTTATNGCACTTTGTAGGATCTAATTCTGTAGGGAGGATTTGTACAGTTTGAAATATGAGACAATGATCGATAGTTGTAGAGCTGATGTTTAATCTGAAGATGATACAGTAAAGAAAATATAGCTTTAAATGTGTTTACTTTATGAAGCCTGTAATGCAATCTAAACTTATGGAAGATTTTGCAGTTTTTGACTCTTCCTCCTGTGGACCTTTTTTAATTGTTCCTATTATGGGTTTGGCCAAACTCACACTAGTTACAGCCGGATATTGAGGTACGGGATACGCCATATCCGGGACTGACCACTCCCAAAAAATTCCGGATCTCCAGAGCGGTAGGCTAAGACCATAGCCCTCCTCGACTATCCAATCGTCGTAACTTATATACTACATAAAACAGTAAAAAATTAACAATAATCAAGTTTTTGTTCGAGTTCGAAGCGAAGTTTTCAGAAATTTTCGTCTATTGTCTGGTCTAAATACGCCGGTCATCGTTCCTTATATTGGATAATCTGGTATTACCCTTCACCATCTAACCATCACCATTGTGAACCTGCTGGCTATGATAAGCATGAAAAAACTATCTTAATGCTTTCAGAATAGAAAGCCTCAATAATTTGAAGCGACAAAAGTCCACAACAATAATTTCACGTGTTTAAAAAAATTGATAAATTTAATATTATTACAATTCAGATTAAGTACTTAAACTAATATATCGAGTCTCAATTCGTTTGTAAGTTTGTCTGACAGTGTAAATTGAAGTTAAAACTGTCAAACTTGATGGATAGCTTTTAATAGGAAAAAAAAGATCGTTATGTTGGATTTTTATGAATGTTTTATAACTTTATATAATAAATACTTTTTAATAAGTTATTTTTATTTTAAAGAAGGCATTGTCTGATTAATTTTAATATATTTTTCAGAAAAAAAGTGTGAAAAATTAAAAAATAAACAAATAAACACAAATCATTGAATTTTCGTACATAAACTATCTTTATTAATATTTCTTATACATATATAAATCTATAATTAAAGAATTTTTGCAAATATTTAATATGTTTAAAATATAATTTAAGTAACAAACTTGTTTTTAAGCTCAGAAATAAAGTTTAAATAACTAGAAAAGGGGGAAAAATTCATAGTTTAATCATTCAAAATTTATTATTTACATGTAGATATGACATTCTCTCTTTAATAAATGTGCACTTTTTACAAATAAATAACTTTAAACCATGGTAAATAAAACAAAAATTTTTCCCGTATATAGGCAGTTCTCCATAAAACATGAAGATAAAACATTTACAAAGCTTTTAGCGCTTATCTAAACGGCGATTGGTCAAGAATTTAAAACAGGACATAAACGGACGAATCGCACGCTACCTTTTAATCTTCCAATTAATTGTNTAATTAAAAAAATTCAGAATTATTTTTGGTTACGTCTAATTATTCTTTTAAGTAAATAAGCGCCCAATTGGCCTAGCTACAAATAAAAGATTTCGCTTCCAGGCGTTATAAATAATTCATTAATACTGTATTCAAATTATAGTAAAACGTGTGATGTCACAATTTCTGACTTTTTTTGTCATCAGCTCGTTTTTCTTATAGGACTAAATGGCTGAACTAATAAGCATTTCCCTTATGTTCATTGTGATCCCATAGGACTAGGCCCACTAGACATAAAATTGCTTTGATTTCCCTAGATTTTTCTGCTTTTTTACCTCATATACTGTACATTAATGGATTATAAAATGTTTGCATCCATTTTATTAATATATCGGCATCTTTGGTTAGGTTTTCTTAAAGATAAGCTTCAAATAATTTATCATCTGATGACTCTTGATAACGATATTCCTTTTCTCTTCATATCTTCCAGATATATTAATTTTTCAATTCAGAAATCTGTTTTATCGGTACAAAAACTCGACTAATCTGATAGAATTTTATCAAAAAAACCATCAAATTTCATTATCTGTTACTTGTAATTCTGTATAAAAACTAAAATTATATGTAAATAGATGTCTAAGTTAACAATAGAAAATTTTTATGCTATTAAAAATAAAAATAATTAAGATATAAGTAAAGTAATCACTTAAAATGAATGGTGTGTCTACCAGTGGCCAAGGGGTCTTTGTAACCTGAACACTGGGAGTTCGGTCGTGGGTTCGTGCCTCGCTCGGACGGGCTGGCCACGTTTCCGTGTTTTCTCCACGTCCGTAACGACTAAATAGGGACCAGTTTCCCCTAAAAAAACCTCCCGGAAGTCATCTCCCCCTAGGCAGATCGCCCAAGTGTTGCGTTGCCATAACAAAAACCAAACAAACTTAAAATGAATGCAAACAAGCGCCCAGGCGGCATCGTTGGTTTACTTGATAAAATCATAGAAAAAAACTATTAATTGGGCTGCAATTTGAAAAAAAATTGTAGATAAATTCCCAATGTCATCCGTCCACCTTTCTGTCTGTCTGTTTATCTGTCCTTTTTAAATCTCGAGAACGGTATTAGATAGAAGAAAGTCCATGCCAGATAGGGCAGGAGGCTCAATTAATTACATACGAACTTCCGGTCTAAACTGGAATTTACGTGATTTCAATTCAAAAAAACTTCCTCTTAAAGCAGTTAATAGATGACTGGCATTACTCTACTGTTAAAGGAAAAGTATGATGTACAGGGGCAAGCCACAACAAATTTGAGATGGAGAGCATATATGGGAGGTGCAAAAGTAGGTTACAGTTGTTATTATGGAAGAAAAAACATACAGGAAGAAAAAACCTTTTTTTATGTACAAATTAAATCACAAGTAAGGTATACGAACTAATAAAATATTTCTAATTTTGAAAAAAAAAAATGTCTAAATTATAAGAAAAATGTGGATTAGATGGCTTTACAAAATGATTATCACGCTTCAAATGGTTAAATCAATATTAAATTGACATTATTTCAGCTTCGAACGACTCATTAAAAGAAAATACAATTTACTATTTCCATGTTCATCTGCTCATGAAACTATAATTTTAATTAATTTTCGGACGATTGTGTGAAATTTGCCTGACGACATTTTTAAAGCGAATTGTTTTATTTAATCAGCGTAACGATTGAAGTTTTCCAATAGAAACGCGCAAAAATTTCTGAAACGGCTGCAATTTTTAATTTATTTAATTTAAAATATATGCTCTCGATCTCAAATTAGCAGTATCTTGCCCCTGTAAATCATACTTTTCCCGATAACAACCGAGTCGTGCGTGTCATCTATGTATCCCCCGTGAAAAACTAAGTAAATACGTAAATTTTTTTATTAAGTCACCTGTTTTATTTAATTTTATTTATGAACAAATATAATCGTGTTTTATAACCTACGTTGAATTTTTTTTTAAAATAGGAAACTTCATTTCGATGTTTGTGGAAAGGCTACCGAAGGAGGCAAAATGGCAATAAATTGGTAAAGTAAAAAATTAATAGTAATATGCAAATTAATTTATGCGTTAATAACAATTATCTTTTATAATTAGGTATGCAAGACAATTATCCAATTTTCCAGTCGTAATTATTTTGGGAGCCGGCTGCCTGTCGTTCGTCTTCACTATAACCTCCATTCTATCATTCGGTTTTCCTTCGTTTAAAGATCCGATATTGGTACAGTCTGGTGCATTCTACTCGAGATTGATCGTTTGCGGGCAAAATAATCTAATGTATTGGTTAAATTTCAGGGTTTCGAATCACGTGGTACCGAATTGTCTCAGAGAACCACAGCATGGAAGCACCTGATGGAAAATTCCGGTTGGAACGGATCTCTCAGCATGTATCCGACCAGAAACGAAAATCAGATTACATCCAGGAGGGATGACAGTAGATCGTACTTGCCTCCTTTATCCGCTAATGCAACCACCATTATTCTAGAGAATGAGAAGGAAAGCCTCAACGAATTCATAAATGGTAGAATGAAGAACAACCAAGCTAACGACAGATCCAATTTTTTCTGTAAAGATCCAGGTGAATAAAACTAATTTAAATTCATTACAATTTGCTTAACGATAAGATTATTTAGTCGAGCAAAGTTATAGTTGGAAGAATATTAATTCTATTTTGGCTCCATCGATTTTTTTTTAGGAAGAGGGAACGTTCGTGTCGTTTTTCAGTCTTCTGTAGAAAACAGCAATCTCTTTACTCTGAAATCGTTGTTATCTATCTGCGATCTTGATTATAAGAAGCTGAGGAACGATGCACACTTCATCGATCTCTGCAGCCACGACGGATCTCACGACTGCTGTCGAAGTTGGTCTCTTCCCAATTATGTGGCCCTCCTCACCAATCATTCCTACTGCAAAGACATCACACGAGACGACGTCTCCTACGTTCTGAAAGTACTGAAAAATTGTGCGGGCTTTTATCACGATTTAAAACTAAGCCACGACTGCACCAGTAATCCTAACTTGTGCGGGGGTGTACCTCACGAATGCACTCGACATAATGCGGTTTATAACATCCTACACTTCTTGGCCGATTCCAAATTTCTGATTTCCAAACGCGGAGACGAATCTTCTATATCTTCTGTTTTAACTTACACCACAGTCTTCCTACCCATTCATCAGGGGATCGAATCCCTCGATTACTATTACGATCTTCAACAGAAAGAACTTACAGATGGGGTGACGGAGGTTATAGGGATGGAATTTGGATTGAAGCACGTTTTACTAGAACACGGGCTCTACCACGACGCCATTTTCGCAATTATAGCTGTACTCGTTGTGTTTTTGTGTATTTGGATGTTCACTACATCATTCCTGTTGACGTTAATGACAGCTATTGCCTTGACATCCGCTCTAGGAACCACTTACTTCGTGTACACAGCGGTGTTTAGGATACCGTATTTTCCTCTGATGAATGTCCTGTCGGTTATTATTCTAATCGGTAAGGGGACAATTTAATTCAATTTAATTACTATTAATTACGTTTATATTGCCATTTTTTAAAATTATTATTATTATTATTATTACAGTTATAGTTACGACAGACGTATTTGTTTATAGCAAGACGTGGTTATCGATAAAGACGGATAAGTCAAATGGAATAACGACAAAAATTGTACGAGATACTCTCCAGCAATTCTGTCCGTCCATGTTGATTAACAATATTACAATCGCTGCAGCTTTGTATAGTAACATGTGCAGCAGCGTTACTGTCGTCAGATGTTTTAGGTAAGATTTATTTGTATATTAATCTAAACAACGAGCCGATCTGCTCAATTGTCAGATGACAACTATATAAATTAAGCAAAAATATTTTTGTACATTTATGAATGCCATTAACGATTCGTTTCGATTTTTATGAAGATATTTAATCATTTCTAAATATTCTTTCTTTTTTTAGTATATTTACAGGCACAGCGGTGATCGTAAATATGCTTCTTACTTTAATCTGGCTTCCAGCATCACTCATCATTATAGACAGATGGTTCTCTAGCACGTGTTGCATCTGCATTCCTCCATTTGGCATCTATCTTCCTTATTTCCAAAAATTTCAATGGTGCTCTTACGGTTGCAATATCTTATGGAAATTTCACTACGGTTTCACGGATTCTTCCAGGGTCTTTTTTGAGAAAATACTTCCGTGTCTCATCATCAAACCCAGATGGTTTTGGCTGATAATACTCACCTCGCTGGCTATGGGGAGTGCAGTCGTTGTATTCTTTCAACCGGCTCTGTTGCTACCGATCAGCAAAGAGATGCAAATATTTGGGTCCGAACACCCCTTCGAAAAATACGATTTACTTCTTAAGCAGTTGTTCTGGTACGAGAAAGAATCCGATCATCAGACATATCACAATTTACCGATTAGGATAGTGTGGGGCGTGTTACCCGTGGATAATGGACACTATCTTAATCCTCACGATCGTGGAAATCTTGTCGTGGATCGCAGTTTCCTGATAACTTCTAGAGAGTCTCAAGAATGGCTACTGTCATTTTGTAAGAAGTTGCACAATCAAACGTTTTGCAAGCCGACTTCTCAAATGCCAAAATCTAGTTGCTTCATTGAAAATTTCAAATATTGGATGGAGAGAATGTGCGTGGACGGTGTGTCTCATCAGAATAGGACCCCGTGTTGTCAGACGTCAAAATTTCCTTACTCGGCCGACGTTTTCAATTTATGCATTGGTGAAATTATCGGCATTCTGCATTATACCCCGAGTTACATCTTCACGTCGGGTGTTGCCGGTCCCAGATTTTCTAAAGAGACGGGTGACGTTGGAGCTATTGTTATAGAATACGGGAGCACAGTGTCTTCTACGGGCACTTATGAAGAAATCAAAGAATTCGTTACTTCCGTTGATAATTGGATGAAATCTGCTCTGAAAGATGCACCCGCAGGAATGAAGAACGGTTGGTTCGTTAGTGACATGGACTTTTATAATCTTCAATCTTACTTATCAAGTGGTACTCTAGCCATAATTGGAGTTGCTGTGGGTGCAGTATCACTTTCGTTACTCGTCACGACAATGAATCTGTTGATTGCTTTTTGTTTAATTGTTACAACCACTTCGGTTGTTTTAGTTACACTGGCTTCATTTATAATCCTAGAGTGGAGGTTGCAAACGGTAGAAACCGTTTTAATTACTGTAACAACTGGTCTATCGGTGGATTTATCTATCAGATATGGTACCTCTTATCGAAATTCTCCCCAAGACGATAAAGAAGGAGCGTTGGTTTATAGCCTTTCCAGATTAAGCAGTCCAATAGCAATGGCAGCTGTAAGTTATTTTCTAGCCGGAATTATATTGTTACCGACATCAATTATCGCATTTTTACAGATAGGTGTATTTTTGATAAATAAAACAATTATAAGCTGGATATATTCGACGTTCTATCTTCATTCTTTGTTAAGTGTACTGTCCCCGTGTAGAGATTACTTCCAAAATAAGCAGATTCAACACGACAAATCTCTCTACGCTCTATCCGAATCGACAGTTTCTACTTCGAGCATAAGTTGCCCCTCGCAAGTTCAAGTGTCGTGCGATCATCACCAGTTAGAACCGTTATCTGTTAACCGAATAGGGACAAGGAGAAATTACTCGAAGAAAGGAAGATCTGGAAGCTTATCACTCTTCAAGTGCGACGATCCTTCTTGGTACGGACACCCCAAAAAACCTTCCAGGAAAGTGAGCCTTCCTGTGGTGCACGTTAGTAACCCGATCGATCCTAGCCCAAGACACGTTTCGGGTGCTACAAGCGCTACGACTTTGGTGGGTGTAGACGACGATAGAGACTCAGTTTTAAACTGCCGAAAGGAACAAGAGATGTGGTCACCTACGGAAATACTAGTGTGAATTCCATCGTAAAAAAAGTAGCCTAAAATGTACATCTGTAGATGAACGAAATATGTACATCCGTAACCGGTTACGAGGTAATTTTTTTTGTACAGTTAAATACGCAGGAGCGTAATCAACCTATGTCGGGTAGATATGTATAGTTTATTCTTTAGACGTGTGTTTTCCACCTCAGAAATGATTGTTAAACTGACGAGAAAATTTTAATTTAGAGAGATTTCACATTATAAAAAGTTGATTAGTATAACTGAAATATGTACCATGTGTTAATTACAGTTTAATAAAAAATAATAATAATAATAATAAGGAAGAAGTTTCATTAGGTAGTGTTTTCGATGTAGCCAAGGGGAGGAAGGATTCTTTTAATATTAAAAATAAAATAAAATAAATTTCATCTCGTTTAGGAAGTAATATAAAGAATTCAGATGAAGATATTACAGTACCATTATTGAAAGACCTTATTTTATTTTATTTTATTGAGTTACAGATCAATAAAGTTAATAAGCAAGAGAATGTAGAGAAACGTAATCCCATCTTGTTAAGGTTGCCCGAATTGTCCGAATGGAGATTAGGAACACGAAATTTATTTTCCAAGAATAAAGGACAGATAATCCCCCTATTCTAAAAGAAACCTTACATAAATATGAGAATTTACATGGAAGAAAAACATTATTCTGATATCAGCGAATGATGCTGATGCATCTAAGCATCGCGAGTAACTAAAGAAAGAGGAAAAGGACACGGTTAATCCCCGTTTAAAAAATTGATATATAAAAAAAAAATATCAGTTTATAATCCTTACATTTATGTGAATAGATGAAATTTTTGATTTTTTAAAAAATATTTTATGAGGTCTTTTTTAAAGGGATAAATCGAAGATTGATTTGATTAAGCTTCAAAAAATGGTCTCTGCGAAATGTCAAAACATATTCTTAAGAATAGCGATGTGAATAAATAAGTAAACAATGGAAGAAGCGCGTGACGTCAAAATATAAAAGTAAATTCCCTTTAATTTAATAATTCTAGAAAGATTTCGATATTTAAAAATGTTTTTATTTTTATATTTTTGTTTTAAAAGAAATTTACTTTTTTCTATAGATTAAAATTCAACGAGGAGAAGAGAAGAATTTAAAAGCTATCAATTTTTAAGTTTTGAATACGTTGCAAGGTTTTTTTTTTTTTTGTTCTTTCTTTCTTTCTCTTTAGAATATGATTCTGTCAAGTTTCCAATAATTACAATTTTTTATTTTAAAAATATTTTTCCATTTAATTTTCTTTGTTTTTTTTTTAAATGTAAATTTTTATAACCGAAATTTATTCTAGAAAATTCAAAATTTTGATGAATTTTTAATAATTTATATCTCACTTTTTTTCAAGAAACTTTCAAGAAAAAATTTAAGAAACTTTGATGAATTTTCTTAAAATTCGTCAAAGTTTCTTGAATTTTTAACAAGTTATAAATATTTTATTTTATAAAATTCTTTTAATATTTTATACTGTTACTGTATTATATAAAACTTTAGGTGTTTTATATCGATTGTGTTCCTGAAATTTATTACGACCTTGATAGAAATTTGCAAATTAAACATTTCTAACGCGATTTATGTTTACTTTTATGATTAAATTTTTTTTTTATTTTACTCAAGAATTTGGAATGTTATTAAATTCTTGATTATTAACAAGCAAAAAAAGTTAAAGTTTGTAATAATTTACTGTTGACATTAAGCTATTAATATATATATATATTTTTAAAAAAATCAATAACACTGCCTTTAAATTATAATATTTAGATAATAAAAGTTTCATATTAAACTCTCTTTGAACAAGTCTACTAGAATTTCTAAGTAGAATATTTTATGTAGGATGTCACGTCGAATATACAAAAAGATAATTAGAGCTATTCTATTTTTAACATAGCTGGCCACCAATCTAAGCACGCTAAACGAATTTATCTCGACTAAATAAAACCGTTAGACTAGTTTATATGTCACCAAACCAAGCTCCAAACTAGTTTATACGCTACCAAATCAAGCTCCAAACTAGTTTATACACCACCAAACCAAGCTCCAAACTAGTTTATATGCCACCAAACCAAGCTCTAACCTAGTTTATACGCCATCAAACCAAGCTCTAAACTAGTTTATATGCCGCAAAACCAAACTCTAAACTAGTTTATACGCCACCAAACCAAGCTCTAAACTAGTTTATATGCCGCAAAACCAAGCTCTAAACTAGTTTGTATGCCACCAAACTAATCAATAAGTACAGTCGATCTTACAATAACGGCTACTTCTCAACAACGGTTACCTTTATACAGCGACTACTTTTTACAATAACTTTTTTTTGAAACAAAATTGCATGCGAAACAACCTGCAAACAACGACCATTTCTTATGTTCTCGTCAGTGGCCATTGTCCAGAGGTTTGACCATACTAGTTTACATTATAGAATACAAACTAAGTGTAAAAAAAGCCTTAAATTCGATTAGTAAATAGAGAGGCAATTCAAGCGAAAATAAGTTAAATTTTGAAATTTTAATATTAGAATTTTATACAAAGAATATAAAATTGCGGAGTGACGAAAAACGATTCGATTTAAATTATTTTAATATTATATAAATCTAAACATATTTGAATTTTGTGGAAGGAAAAAGAAAAGTAATAAGATTGGCAAATGATAACGTTCAATAAACTGAAACGTTGAAAGCATCGATTAAATTTACAAAAAGTATCAAAATAGAAAAACAGGCAAAATGGAAAAAACGTGGAAAAATGAAGAAAGAAAAAAAAAGACAAAATTTCTTTTACAAAAATAAAGATTTGATTGAAAGTAAAGTATAGATTGGATAGCTCCTTCCATAAACTGAAACGTTGAAAGCATCGATTAAATTTACAAAAAGTATCAAAATAGAAAAACAGGCAAAATGGAAAAACGTGGAAAAATGAAGAAAAAAAAAACCAAAATTTCTTTTACAAAAATGAAGATTTGATTGAAAGTAAAGTATAGATTGGATAGCTCCTTCCATAAAATTACAATTCTAGAAAATTTCAAAATTAAATTTCCTTCAAATGACACATTTCACGAATAAAGCATAAAAATAGGTATTATTTTTTTATAATGAATTTTTAAATAATTTAATTAATACGAGCAAAAATTATTTGTGGCATCATCACAATTTTTATTCATATTTTTAATTTATTTAATTTAAAATATACGCTCTCGATCTCAAATTAGTAGCGCATTGCCTCCGTAAATTATACTTTTCCCGATAACAACTGAGTCGTGCGGGTCGTCTATGTAACTCCTTTCCGGGGAGAAATTTTTAAATTGAAATTGCGTGACTTTCTGTTCAGACAGGAAGTTCGTATATAGTTAATCGGGGAGTTCTGCCCCCAAGCTTTTTATATATTGTTTCGAATTTTATCTATTAAGCATCGTTCTCCAGATTAAGGAAAGACAGACAGCCGGACGACAATGTGGNTATATATACATATGCTTTTTTCCTATTTTTTCTCTTATAAAAGTACAACAAATTCTTGTAAGAAATTGTAAAATAAAAATATCTTTTGCTGGCGAGAATACACGAATTTTCTGTTTAAAAAAAATGTGTTTCTTTTGTAAAAAAATACAAGAAACTTTCAAAAAGAATTTTTTAAAAATCAAAATACAACGATGTTTTTTTTCTTTTCTCAGAAGTTGTAAAACTCAGTTTTACAATTTCACATAAAATATACAGGACGAAATTTTGTTAGAAACAAGAGAAAAATACTGAAAAGAGAGATTGTTTTCGATAAAAATAGAAAAAATTTCATCTGATCTTATACATTGCAAAGAATATATATATATTATACACTGTATATAAGAAAATAAAATAAGATAATAATAATAAAATTCAGTAATTTAGCTGCATTTTTGATGATTGAAACCATAAAAAAAATTTCATATTAGAAAAGTTGAGACGAAAATTGGAAAAAATTTTATAATAAATCTAAAAAGAAAAATGCAATTAGTGTATACCAGACTCCGTTTATTATTGTTAAATTATTTACTAAATAAATTAATTAATAATTAAATATATGGGCGCTGAAATTTGAAAAAATTGCAGCCCAATTAACCAAATACAAATTTCAACTGGCTTCGGTTTATTTGTCTGTCCTTCCTTAATCTCGAGAACGGTGTTGGATAGACGAAAGCCGAGACCAGATGTGGAAAGAGTAGGGACAGAAGTCCCCGATCAATTATATATGAACTTCCGGTCTGGAAGGAAAGTCACGTGCTTTCAATTCAAAAGTTTATTTACCCCAGAACGGGGTTACATGGATGACCGGCACGACTCTGTTGTTATCGGGAAAAGTATGATGTACAGGGGCAAGGCACTAATAATTTGAGATGGAGAGCATATATTTTAATTATTTTACGTAATAATTAAAATATATGCTCTCAAAAGTTAGTTAACCATTGAAAGGTTAAATTTCCATCATATATTCTACATTATAATCATTCTTTAATATTTTCAGAAATTTCGTAAAATAAAAGCGTTATTATCAGCTTGAGATTTACATCTACAAGCGTGTTTATAACACATAAAACACAGTTAAGTGATTTTTGGGCCGACCTTTACCTCATCCAATCGATTATTTATTTATTTATTTATTTATTTTTATGTAAATTTACTTAATATTTAACGAACACGATTAAAATTTTTAAAAAATTCATTAATTAATTTCGTAAGAATTTACTATTTTATATACAGGATGGCTCAAAAGTCGATTAACCGTGTTTTCTTTCACAAAATCGATGGAAACATTATTTAAGTAACACGATTAAGTATTTAATTATTTGAATTTTGGATAGTGATTGGTTAACTAATTTTTAGTCCATCCGGTGTATATTTTGTTGTCTATTTCTTAACATTTTTTTCCAATTTCGGTATATTGAATGTAGGACACAAAAATATTATTTAATTAGTAAAGATTTCCAGATAAGTAAGTAAAAAAAGTACAGGAGAAAATCGAATTTATTTGATTTTTTTCGACTTATTTTCTTTAGTTTTGTTTCATATTTCCTCTTTTCTTTTCTATTTTATTTATTTATTTTTTTGATTTTTTTGTATTTTCAAGTTCCTATAAAGAAATATTATACTGAGTTTAACATAGGCAAACATGTTTCTTGTTTCACTATTTGTGTTCTTTTACAGTTTTTACTTTTCCGGATGTTATATATAACAGAGGGAAAGTATGACCCCGAAAATTTGTATATTTTTGGACTCAAGATACCTTGAAACGTCGAGAAATGCAAAAAAAATTCGTAGGTTTTTTTTCTGTATGTTAGTATGTATGTGATACGATTTTGTTCACCCTCTTCGAAGCTTAATAACTTCTGTGCTTTTTGTCGAAAATTTCTGAAATTTTGCAGGGAGGTTTGTGTATTAGAGGGATCGATGCTGTTAAATTTTGGTGATTAAAGGTTGAGGAGGTGGGGAGATAATGGAGGTCGTGTATATCACCAGTAGAGTCGAACTTAATGACGATTTTACTGGTTATTAGCATTTTCAATTCTTTATAAAACCCATCCTTACACTCGAAATGAATCCTTTTTGCCATTTTATAATAGTTAAAAATATAATAAGTTTTTAATAATAAAATATCGTTAGATTTAGTTTAAAAATCGCAAAAAAAAGTTAATTTATTGTTTTATTTTCTTCATAATTTAGATCGTAAATGTAAATATATCATTTTCTTGACAAGGAGAAATACTTCTTTTAGAGCTTTCGATCGTATTTACTTGTTATCTTAAGTGTTTAGTACACGATTTAATTATCTTTATAACGATTTCTACGCTCGTCTGTGTGTCTGATCGGCATTACTTTCGATAAAACTTAGAAAAAAAAACAGATGCTTAATAAACGGAAGCCATTTTGTTATAGCAAATTTTTCTTGTCTATTTAACAAAGCCTATTGATGTTCATCGGGAAACGAAGTTGTCGTCGTGTCACGTTGCATTTCTTAGCGAATGCACAGCCGAACTTTAATTTAGCGCTACTTGTTTGACGGTAAAACGAGTGCGGCATTGAACTGAAGAACTTCAAACGTTAAGAATTATGTAAGGTAACGAGGTCTACATACAATTTTGAATTTTAAAGTCACCTGATTCGATGATAACGATATCATTTGCAGTAGACTAGTGTAATTAGAATAGATATTAGGGAGGCCCAAATTAGAATACGTACAGCTTTATTCACCCCTGTACTAGCCAATAGTGCTGTAGATCATAGCAACTATAAGATAAACTTTAACTAGAAAGTATAACTGTACTAAACCTCTAACTAGAACACACACATACAAAGACAGACAGGTAGACCCACATTTATTTAGTAATTCACAGATACGGAAGAATCCTCAATTTAATATTTATGGAGAAGATCCGTCACACGCAAGTATTCATTAATGCTTTGCAAATGGTTATATAGGGGGAGGTTTGACCGTGTATTATAACGAAAATTAAGCCCCATATCAGATTTTAAACCAAATTCTAGCTCAAAATTACTGTATTAAGTTGCTTAAAATTAAAAAAATTTAAATTGAATACAGTAATATTTCACCTTTGACCTTTATCACTTTTAATTATTATTGTATTTCGAATGGTAACATATATTAAAATAATAACATTCGAGTTATATCCGAATCCAAACAGGAATTAACAAAACGTTAATTGTTAATTCAGCTTCAAACAATTATTATTCCTTTAATTAATATGCAAATCGATATGAAACTTGTTTAACTTAATTAAATGCTAAACCAATCGACAAGGGATTAAAATAATTAATTTTTACAATTTTATATTGAAAATTTACATAATACTAATGCTATTTTCCAGGTTTCTATTGAGATTTTAACGTTTCTCCTCGTACCAATAACGAAACGTTAATACAGTATTTCGATAGTGTAAAGTAACAAATCTAAGAAAAATGTATTTAGGCCTATGTGTTTACACAATTTAATAGATTTGTATTATAAATGTACAGAATGTCACCGAATGTGAAACAAGAAAGTTATTTTTATCGCTCTATAGAGTACTGTTGAAAAATCCACCAACGGGTTGCATAACTTTCTCGGCAAAAAAGTTAAAATTGTGTGTGGCTCCGTCTGTTGTAAGATCTTATTTAACAAAGAACTATTTGAATTATAAAATGGCAAAAAGCTTAATTTTGTAGATAGAGACGAGTTTTATAAAAATTTGTAAATGCTAAAAACGACAACAATAAGTCCGACCCCACTCGAGGTACGACACGTCAACTCCCTCGACCTTTAACCACCAAAATTTAATAGCATCGAGCCACCTAATACACAAACCTCCCTGCAAAATTTCAGAAAATTTCGGCAAAAGGCACAAGAATTTTTAAGCTTCGAAGTGAGTGAACATAATCGCTCTCCCACACACATTAATATCCATACAGAAAGGAAAGATCCCCAATTTTTTTTTTTCTGTATTTCTCGACGTTTCGAGGCCCCCCCAAAAAAGTAAAAATCTTGGGGCGAGTCATATTTTTGACCGGTCGCCATATTTACTCTCTGTTATATCACAGCCGGGGGGAAAAATTATTACAAAATCTTTATTTTAAACTAAATAGGCTTCATAGGCTTATATATATCTAATAAATATAAGTTGATAAATACGAAAAGTAATTCTATCCAATATTTTTCATAGAGAAGAGGCTATAAAATTAGGAAATTTTCCTTTTACAACCCTCATTAACATTATTAAATTGACAAGACATTACTTCTATTGACTTTAATCTTCGATCTTAACATCGTTAAAGTTTAAAGTACTGTGTTTACAACACCATTAATCCATATTTAATCACTTTGTATTGTGTCTTAATTTTGTTTAAGTATTAACAACACAATTAATCGTGCTAATTAATTAACGGTTGTGTTGTATAAACAATTAAATGCGTTGTAGACGTAACTTGGTGTTATTTTACAACAGCACAATGCACTTCTGTAATATGTTTCTGCAATAACTATAAAAATAAAGAAGAATGTAATACATACCTCCTACAGTTCAGGAAACTTTTATGAAATATTATTCATTGTACAGAACGTCTTCAACTACACTTGTTGGCATAACAACGTTACCTACAATGGTCGAGTTATGGTAGAAGGGTCCATATTTACTCTTATTAACTGATTACATGGATACATCTTCATAACAAAATTAGATATTTTTATTTATTACGGTTGCATTTTTCTCTGTTCGTACACCCCCACCCATTTAATAATACAACCGTTAGGTTAGTAACCTTTACTGAATTGTCATTCTTTTTTTAAATTTACAGAATCAACGGCGCCAAGTTATGTGATGTGCAATAAGAGCCGTCTTTCATTTATATTAGATGTAATGGCACCAGTTTTTCTTTTGTTTTTTTTTTTATGTCTTGTAAATCCTCTGCTGATCTGGAGCCTATTTTAATCTTCTTGATCCTCGCAGACACATATTGCGACATACTGTCCAGTGCTAGACATTATACAAGCGTCGAGTGTCGCGAGATAAATTTCTTCTATAAATCAGCCTACAAAACAAATGATATTTGTGAAAAATTCTGTTGTAACGGTAAATTTATCCATTATTTTTCATCGAGACAGAGTTATAAAACTAGGGAATCAATTCTTCATTCTTCAAATCCAATCGAAATTTCTTGTAAGCACGAGCACTCGGATCTTCAGGCGACTGAAGAATAACTCCAAGAATATCTATTTAAATGAATTATATCTAATTTAGTTCGGTAAGTTTAATAATAATAATAAAAAAAAAGATTTAATTTAATCCAGTAGCAACCGATTCCAATTAGCAAAACGTAGTTAAACTGTCAATTGAGATTTGGAGCAACATTATTTAAGTCTGGAGAAGAGGATTAATGTCTGGAAAACACGAAACAACATTTGATTGCAGTAAATATTAATCGTGTAAACATAATTAACTTTATAGCAACTTTTTCTGCTTGTTAAATGAAGTAATCGTAGACACTTGTTAAAGTTTAGAAAGTATTGTGTTTACAACACATTAATTAATTAACAATTGATCGTATTGTATCGTAATTTAGTGTTTAAATTTTAACAACGCAATTAATTGTTTAATTAGCACAATTATCAATTGTGTTATGTATACAATTATTACACTTAACAATTACTTACGTTTTTTTGAACTTTAACAATACAATTAATCGTACCAACAATACTAGCTAACAATTATAATTAAGGGTATTGATTGCATATACAATTAATAAATTATATAATTACAACTATTATTTACTTATATTGTTGGCCTACTTAATCGCGTTTAAAGTTTAAAAAAACAACATTATGTCTACAATATAATTATATGTACTACAGTACAGTACAATTGATAGCTAAATGATTAATTGTTTTATAGGTAATATGAGATAGAAACACAATTTATTAATAATTAATCATGCTGTAAACAAAGAGCAATAAATAAAAAAAAGGAGGGGAGTATAATAAAGTTTTCAATTTTTTGTTTTTGTTAAATTAATTTGTTTTTGAGTTTATTATTACTTCTCTCCAGTGATGAAGATTTATTTTCAAGTTAAATAGGAGCATAGAAAGTGGAAAGAAGGAAACAATTCTTCAAGTTTTATCATGAAGATATTAATTTCTGTTTCCTGAAAAAAAGTAATTAACACTTGTAAAGTGGATCTTCTCGCCTTGGTTATAAACAGATGTTAAATGTAACTGAATCCAGAATAATTAAATTTACAAAAGGTTAATAACCGTACAAAAGAAGAGAAAAAATAAAATAAAGTTCGAATTTAATATTGAATTTTATGAATTAAATGCTATTTTTTTTAGAATTATCATAAACTTTTATTGTTAGTTCTTCTTGGTACTTGAGTAATAAAATTGTTTTACTATCAACAAAACTTTTTAGAAAATTTNATATTTTTTTAAAAAAATTATTGTTATTGTTGTAAGTGTTGTATTTTATTGTTATTGCTTCTCAGTTAATTTGTATATGATAACTCTAATAGAAAGTGGTGCCATCTAGCTGTAGTGAGAGGCAATAATGTTTGTTCTTTCCACCCTGTAAAGAAGACGAAGGGAGATTCAGCGTGAGAAACGTAAGAGAATTTCATCTTCTATATCTAATTATCTCTAAACTTTTTAATGTTATCGATTGTTCTAGTTATAAGCGTTTTATGTAAGAAGATTAAGCTGATCATAACAAATGTTTAAGTAATATACTATGTTAAGTGTGATGTAGTTGTCAATCAATGAGTGAGGATGCAAGATACATTTAATGGAGAATATTTTAACCTTAATTCGCAGGATAATTGAGTTTGCTTGAGTCTTTTAGATTTAGATTGTTTGTCGGGTCGAAAAGATCAATAGATGTTGAAAGCAGTCATCGGGGATGCTGGAGAGGTTTAGTGAGAATGCCCCGAGGATGCTGTGATCCATCTAGGATGCAGAGTGATTCTTATCCTTTTTTTTTTTTTCTCTCTCTCTCTCTGGCTATTTAAATACTGTGTTGCTTTTGAATATGCTTTTTTTAATATATTATCTTCACTTATTCAGTAAAAATTATCATTTATAATTTATCTTCTTCTTCATTTTTCAATAAAGATGATAGATTATTGAAGGGTAAAATTCATTAATTTTTATTTAAGCAGTCGGAAGAGAATTTATAAGACCGTTGCAACTTCTTAGTTACGCCCCACCGTTAATGTCTCCTTATCCCTTAATCTTATTGGATTTATTTCGAAGATATAAAATTTTTAATTCTAGTTTAAATATGTAATTAAATTAAACTAAATTTGACATTATTTTTAAAATATATAGACCATTTATTTTAATCTAATTTTATAGTTGTGTGAGATTATTTCATTGATTATTATTAATAATAATTGATATTATATTAATAATTACAAAGACAATTACTATTATTAAATAACCGTAATAACAATGCTTATTGTTGATAAATTATATAGCATTCGTACAGATGGTTTGCTTGTTTGGGGTTTAAAAATGATAAATTCAATAAGCGCATCAAAATGAATTCTGCTTTTTGTAAAAGTGAAACTTATCTTCTCTTGTAGTAAACAGATTTTTCTTTATTTAAGGGACACCAATGATATAAAAAAATGAGCTTATTTTTGCAATACTGGTTGTTCTCAATAATTTTATACAGTAAAAAAGTCTCTTTTTTCTCTTATGTACAATCTTCTTTTCAATATATACACATTCCACAAAGACTTTATGAAAAATTCTACCTTCTTTATGCATTTAGATATAAGAAGATTTATATAATGTAAGTTTATATACCTGTCTATTGATAAGAAGTTTAGGTGAGATAATGACATTTGAAAATAAGAATCAATATTAGGTATTTTTCACAGAATTTTTATTATATTTTTCTACAATAGATTTTCTGACAATTATTTCAATATGATTCAAAGCAGTGCGGAGCTTCTAATCATATTGAAACTACTGTAAGAATGTTAGACAAATAATAAAATATGTGTTGAATTGTAATGACTTTTGCAAACTTTGAGGCATTGACTTCTGAACTTGAGTGAATGTGGTAAGTAAATTTGAGTGAATTTAGTGTTGAATGAATTATTTTTCAGTGTAGAAAAATGTAAAATAATACTCAAAAAAGTATAAATTTTATTCGTAATTAACTGCTTTTATCCTACTTATTTTTTTTTTAATATTAGTAGAATTTTTTATTTAACCTACTGACATTGTTAGTTATAATAAGTAGAATTGAATCAAATGTTAGTCATTTTAAATTAGAAAATTTTTTTAATACAGTCTAAAATAAAGTATATCTTGGTTTTTGTTATAAATATTTAAAATAAAAATTGTATTATTCCCCATCCTTCATCAGTTTAAAAACACCATTTCTCGTCTGCAACATCATGGTTAAGGAATCAGTAATGTTGATTTTAACTCTGGTGATGTTGTCATTTCCCATCTCTCAAATACTGTTCTGTTGCTCGAAAGGTTGTGAGTGTATTAGTTTCCATCTCTCGTCAATGATAAGCACTTGAGCAGATTTGAACTTGGATTCTCACATCATTGGGTTGATAGTTTACTGTGTAGCTAGCCATCTGCCCAATGTAAAATAATTATAACAATAATTTACATAAACATATTTACTTTAAAGTATATTTTTATTTCTTTACAGATTATGGATTTGCCAGTTTTAAATCTTCCAGATGAGATAACTTTTATTCTCCAGTCTGGTTTGGCCAAAGATACTGTCACAGTTAATATTGCTGATTTGAATTTAAAAACTTTAAAAGATCTTGCTTGTGATTTTATTAATAAAAAAGTAATTATTATTATTATTAATTTTTTAAAAATAGACTAGATTCAATTTTAAGAAAAATATAATATGTAAAATAAAATAAAATAAAATTTAATTTAATTTAATTTAATTTTTACAGTTTCCAGATCATGGGCTGAACAGATTAAATGAACGTTTAATTCTCTTCCGGCATGAATACAAATCTGGAAATTTGTTATTGCCAATAAATGTTGCTTCCGAAGTTTCTGATGGAACATTAGTCGAAATTATTCTCTCTGGTAATTATTACTCCACATTTAATTATTATAAATTTGTTCCATTTTAAAATCGAATTTTCTGAAGAGAATTTGTATAATTAAGAAATGGCCAAGAATAAATTTTACATTTAGAAATTAGATATATAAATAATGGGAAAAAATAAATATGAAAATAAAATGGATACTTTAAAATTATTCTAATGGCTTAGATTATTTAAAATTATTCTTTGATAATTTTTCAATTTTCCTTATTTTTATACTTGTAAAAACTATTAATATAATATAATCAAAGATTATTTTATATTATAGATATTTTTAAGTTTAGCTATGTATACCAATAGTATAAAGAAACTAAAATCCTTTTAACATTTACTTACAAGCAAAAAGAAAAAAGTTTCTTGTTTTTATTATTTATAAGCAAATATCTAAAAATTACAATATTCAGAATATATGTCTGTATTTTAAAAGGATCCAGTATTTTTGTTGTTCAAGTGCAAGTGTATATTCAATTTCGATAGTTGAATAGCCTCCTAATTCTCTATTTTAAAATCTTATTAAATAGTAGTTCAAACTATTTCGTATAAAGTTAGCTTTAATTTTATTTTCAATCCTTATTATTAGAAAAATTTTTGTATATTCAGGGAACAAATTATTGATGCCAAAATTATAATAATCTGTTGTGTATAATTTGATTTACTTCATGAAAATATATTGTTATAATTAATTATAAATATGAATTGAATTAAAAAACTGATAAGATATCTGAGTTTTTGTTAATAATAATGTGTACCAATCAGAGTAAGCAGACATATGAAAGTTGTGCAGAGAGTGAATCATCATGTATTTAATTAAATCAATTAAATTTATGGCTTATAAAGATGGAACATTGTAACTTTTAAATTATTAAAGTGAATAAATTTTTATGGCCGCTGTAGGGTAAAATTATGAAATTATTATGAAATTACTGTTGTTTGTAGTTAAAGTATTATGATGTCCAAAATTTAGTTGTCAAATCAGACATATAATAAGGGAGGTGAATATGTCCCTGGGTCTTAAATGAAAAAGGGTGCCATGAATTCTTTTATGTTATTGACAAAAATTAAATTTTTTGTTAATGTTAATATTAAAAATGTTTAGAAAAATCTGATGTTTTTATAAATAATATATACCCTATGTTCCACAAATCCATATTACTCCTCAGTGAAATAAATTCAAAAAACTTTTCTCAAACTTTTTAAAATTTCATTAAATTTTTTAATGTGATATAGCTTACATCTTAAATCAGACAAATAAATTTATTTAGAAATTCAAATATTAATTCTAAACATAAAAACATAATATGTAATGTATATAGTATGATGAATTTTAAAATGTAAATTTGTAATTTTTTTTTAATTTTTATCTGATTTTATCACTTCTACACTACTAAATCAGATAAATGACAGACTTTCCAGTCAGATAAATGCAGAAAATATTCCAGTAATAAATTTTCTAGATAAAACTAAATGTTTTAGATGTCGTGATTTTTCCATCCTAACATTAAATATTAAAATTAATGCTTTTTTGAGTTGAACGTAGTAGATATTTAAGTAGCACCATCAAATGTACATTTATTTCTTATTCATGATAAAAATATCTTTATTTTTAAAGACCAATGGAACATAACAATTCTGCATTATTCTATTGGAGTGTGAAATAGAATAATAGAATTTTCATTTATTTTCTAAAAATTTAATCAATATTAAAATTAACTATCAAAAATTTTTATTAGGATATTTCAAGTAATGTTGTTAACTGTTTGAGAATTAAACTATTTCTATGTTTAATTTTTTAATACAAGCTAAATTCATTTAATTGTTCAAAACTTATGATAAAAATATTTCAAAGATGATGATGATGATAATTGAGAATTCATAATGCCAGTTTTGTATTAGTGGATGGAATGGTGTCAAGAGACATCATTGGCCTAGGATAAAAAATTTATGTGAGCTGCAAGTAAATAAATTATTTAAAAATTATTTTTAGTTTTCTTATGGATATATTATTTTTTCTAAAAAATAAAGAATAATAGCTATTTTTAAGCATTTTATATTACGATATTGTTTTAATAGTAATTAGTTTGTAAAAAACAAATTGTGTGATGATGTCCAGGCTTGTGTGAATCCCAAAGAGAATTTTATCCCATTGATCCTGAGTGGCTGTTTCTGAAGCCAAAAACTACCATAGGTAATTTTTTTATATATAAATGACAGAATAATTATAAAGCAAGATATAAATCTGAGTCTTAAGCAGTATGATTTCTGTCTAGGACCTCATGCTCTTAGGGACCTCTGATGCATACAAATATATAATTGTTGATATTTGATCTTAGTTCAGTACACAGAATTCAGAGCTTATACATATACATACAAAAAAGAAAGTCTTGAAAATTCACACTTGACTAAAGCTTCTCACAGCCTAAAACTGTCAGTGGTTTTGAGCTAAAACAGCATTGTTCTTAGGTATTGGTGGAATAATCTTTAATTTGAAAGATAATATTAGTCTTATTACTTACTGTCTGTAACACATGTTAGTAATTCTATAGTGATAACGTTTAGTGAATAAAGTGATATACAACTTAAAGTATGACAATAACTTTGAATTAACCCACCAGTAGCCGAGTGGATAAAACCAGTAAACACTGGTAGTTGGTTGAGTTCACACCTCATCAACAGGCTTGCTACATGGAGTTTTCCAAGATTTCTTTGTATTAGTAACACCTAAATAGTGGCCAGTTTCCCATAAAAGATCTCCCCTGAGGCATTTCCTCTTGGTGGATCACTCATTTATTGCTGTATACCAATAAAACCAAACCAACTTTGTTTGAATTATATCAAGGCTATTGAGAGATTGTATGGGGGCCCATAGATAGAGTAGTCCCCTTTAACCTGTCTTTTTTTTTTTTACAAATGAAATACAGAGAATGTTTATTTCTTTATTAATAAAAAGTATTAGTAGACTTAAAGATCTTATTTCATGTTAGTAAAAATAACATTAATTTTATAGGGGTAGGAACAACTATGGGCTTCCAAGTTTTCTCCAGATGCAGGGAAAAATCTCCAGCTTACTCTACTTAGCCTTGATTATATCCAAGATGTTGGAATTCATGCTGAAAAGTATTGAAAATTAATCTATTTATATTTTCTAGGGGAACATCTGTCAATTAGTGGCATTTTTATTAATATTATGTCTTTTACAGACAAGGTGTAATTCATTAAATTTCTTAAGCAATTATTTAAGAGAACTGTGTAGTTTTTGTGTGGAAGAAGAGACTTTTGAAGTTTTGCATATTTTGGCTAACTGCATGCATTTTAAATTGCTATGAGACAAAATTTTTGGTTATACTCTTCTCTCCAGGGGCATGATTCCTCCTTTTTAAATTTGGTTCAATTGCTGATGAAGTTTGGGAGCATCTGTCAATTGGTGGCTTCATTACTAATACATTGTTTTTTATAGGTAGGAAATATTATTTTTGTTATTTTATACTGGCAGATCTTTTCAAATTTAATTTAATTAATGTTATTTTGTTTTAATTTTGTAATTTTATGTTGATTGTATTTAATAGCAAAAGTTTTGTATTTGTAAGTCTGTTTTTTTTTTCCTTCCCTGCATCATGGAGTATATCTAGTATTTTTAAATAAATAAATATTTTGTATGTTTCTGAAAGGTTTTAGTTTATTCAATGTAGTATGATTGTTAGAGATACTGTAATTGCTCAATAATTCTAACAATTAAAGATAGGCTTATATGCCAGTATCTTTCTAAATTATGAGAAGTTAAGTCTTTACCTTGGTTTATTTTATTGTTACTTAAAAGACAATAAACCAATAAATGTAATAGAAATGAGAGATGAATATTGAATAATCAAATATAAGTTTTCAAAAATATATTATTTAATTTTTTTGCAATGCAAAAAAGCATAATACAAAATAACACATTATTAACATTCCTTTTATAGAAATTCTTCATAAAGAGCATTATTAATGCAAAATATGAGATGATGATTCTTTTGAAAATAGAAATTTAAACACAAAAGTTATTGCTGCTATTTTATTTTTTCAAAATAGAAATTTTTCAGCATTTTTAATTATTAGCAGTTTCAAAGCTCTTTCTGGTTATGATAAATATACACTATGTTAATAATTGAATTAAGCAATCTTATATAATAAAGATCAATGAAGGATTTAAAAAATAAACAAACATTTTCAGCTACTCTTGGCCATTATCAGCTATAACATTTTCTAATTTTCTACACAGTTGTAAGCATTTATTTGTTCTTTAAATCCTTCACTGTTCATTAAAGAACTTGATCTTAATTTGGATTTAGCTCCAGTTTAATGCTTGCTTGACTCGGGTTAGGTTATTCAATTAATGTACTCAACATACATAATTGGACTGCAATTTGAAAAAATTATAGTCCTATAAATTTCCACTGTCGTCCGTCTATCTGTCTTTCCTTAATCTTGAGAACGGAGTTAGATAGGTAAAGGTCGAGGGCAGAAACCTTAGGAGCAGGAAGCCCCAATTGACTGTATATGAACATTTGATTTGCACTGGAAATCACACCACGTTATTTCAATTAAAAAATTTTCACCCTGAAAGGAGTTAGATAGATGACCAACATGACACTATTGCTAGCAGGAAATGTATGATGTACAGGGGCAAGACACTACTAATTTGAGGCAGTGCATGTATTTTAAATTAAATAAATTAAAAATATGATTAAAAATTGCAGCCCGACATTGTGATCATGTCACAATAAATAATTGCTCATTAGATTTTTAAAAACTTTTAGAATATTTAATTATATCTTTATATAATAGTTTAGGATTAAAGTTGAAAGAAAAATTATCCATCTGTTGTTTACAAACTTTCTTCTTGTAATTATATATGTACCAATGACATTATAAACTTATATAATTTTCTGAAATATTCAATTTGCTATGAATATAATAATTTTAAGAAAAATGCTATTACTTGTT